GTCTTAAATCAACTGTATTTTTGATTAATTTTAGTAGGTTAATAGGATTATTAGCCAATGGAATGAGTATTTTAAATCTTAAAATAAGATAATTGTTTAGTATGTGCTTGAAATAAGACAATGCAGTTGTTTTTTTTCTTATTTTAAAGGTAAATTGTCTTGTTCCATTAAGTGTCTCACTTACCTCCTCAGTTCAAGAAAAAGTGCACTTAGTTTAAGAAAAAATTACTTATTTAGATTTAAATATTTGCAGTGGAGATGGAGTGGCGTCTTACCACAGTCCTTCTCAAAAGATACCCTTGGTTAGTCACAAAAATGTTTGTGAAACTTAGTTTAAAAAGTTATTTTTTCTCAAATAAAGACAGTTCACCTGCTTCTCCTTTAAGGTTCTCAGGCTCTACTTCAGAGAACTTTGAACCTAAAAATTAAATTTCTCAAAATGTATTTCTTAAAACACTATAAAAAAAAATCAAGTGATGTTTCAAACAATACATGTTTTTCTCTCCACATTGAACCCTACAGTCATTGTCTAAGGCTGACAGCAATGGCTGTCTCCATTATTTAGTGATGAAAGACAGTAATCTAAGAGGAAGCATTTGTCCATCATTGTGTCATAACCCTGTTTCTGTCTCTGCTCTGTCTCCGTCTATCTGTTACTCAGAAAGGATTTTTCCTGCTTTTCTATTGTGGAAATTTCAGTTTCCTTCAAGCAGAATGAACTGCTGTTATTGAGCCCTTCTTGATTAAGGGAATTTTCGGAATAATTAATAATTACAGACCAATCTCTGAGGCAAAGCTTCTTGGAAATGTAGTGGCTGAACATCTTATTTTTTTATGTTAAAAATTCAATTCAGTTCAGTTTATTTCTATAGCGCCAATTCACAACACATGTTGGCAAGGCACTTTACAGTTCACCAGATCATACAGTCAAATTGATTCAAAGTTTTCTATCGAAGGAAATCCAGTTGATTGCATCGACTCATTGACTCGAATGCAATCCCTCACACTAAGCATGCTTGTAGCGACAGTGGAGAGGAAAAACTCCCTTTTAACAGGAAGACACCTCCAGAAAAACTATGCTCAGTGTGGTTCTTCCACTTCTTTTTGCCAACCTTAGTTTTAAAAGGAAAAGAGATCCCTTGAGTGAAGCCGAAATAATACATTCCATAATACATTAAAATGCTTGTAGCGATTGTGGAGAGTAAAAAACTCTCTTTTAGCGGGAAGAAACCTCCAGCAGAACCAGGCTCAGTGTGAGCGGCCATCTGCCGAGGCTGACTGGGGTTCAAGGAGACAGAAGCAGAGACACAAAAAGCAACTGGAAAAGGCGGCCCCATCTAGGAAACACACAGCCATTTAAAAAAACATAGCATTTTTGGCAAAAATTGATTGGCTTTTGTTTGCAACTCCGCACAAAAATAGCTTCATTTTAAGTTTCTAATGACATGTTGATGTCAGCTCACTCTGGAGCATCCACTGTAACAGTTCTGCCTGACCTTTCACCTGCCTTAGACACTGTAGATCACAATATTTTGATAATGGGCTTCAAGATGTAATCATTCTAACTTTTATGGCTCTAGAGTGCTTTAATTCCCATATTTAAGGTAGAAAATTTCCTGTTTTGCAATCCTGATCATGTCAGACTTCAGGAATCTGACATGTGGAGTTCCACAGGGATTCAGTTTGGTTAATTTCTATTAGGGTTGCAACCAACAATTATTTTGCGAAACAAATAATCTGTCGATTATTTTTTAGATTAATATATTAATAATTGGAAAAGGTTATTTGAAGAAGATTTTTACTAAATGAAACCAGATGTAACTAAAATGTTTCCACTCGAGGAGTTCTGGATTGAACATATTGCCAGACAAAAATATATATATTTTTTATCTTAAATGCAAAATGTTTACATCTCTATACTCAAGTTAATGATTAATTGATTACTAAATTAGTTTATGATTATTTCAATAATCAATTAATCACGATTAATTTAAAAGAACGGACCTGTTCTTTTTCTTATGTATTTTTCCTCCTTTGCCAAATAATTCTGTATCTTTTTGATATGTCACATCAGTTCTACGCTGATGATATCCAGCTTTATTTTTCTGAATATGAAAATTTGTCCAACTTGATACATTGGTATCAATCAGTGGCTCTTTCAAAAATATATACAGGTAAATTCTGCAAACTGAAACCATAATTAATGCACTTCAGAACAGAGTGACATTAATAAAGCCACATCTTGATATATGGACCTCCTCTGTTAAACTTTATATCACCTCTAAAAATGGTTGTGGACATTTATCAAGTTGTGATCTCTCTTTATAAATGCTAGCGGTATTTTTTAGAAATGTTCGAGCACCCTACACCTCCCAGAGTCTGAGATCTGCCAATCAAAGACAGACAAAAGTTCAATTTATTATCCGAAAACAGAAACACAAATTCTTCCACTTGGCCAGACAAAGAGGCTATCATTCGTGTAAGCAGTTAAGATGTAACAGCTGAGAGGCTGAAGAGATCTGCTGGTTTGGTGAGAGAATCAGTCGATGGGACAATTCCGAATCCGGCATTTTTCATATCTGGCCGTTTTGAAAGAGTGCTTCAAGAAATTTGCAAAAAGAAAACATCTTATAGCTTTCTTGGTCCCAGCACGTTTAACTGTTTGGGCTGGAAGCAGTTTGCCTCCTTCTGTAGGACAAAAACATACAACTGAACCTGAAGTAGAATATTTTAGTTTATAGCACAGTCTTGACTTAGAACCTAAATCCAATTCAGAATCCAAGGCTGTGTGAAGACTAGCAGTTCAATGTAGTTCTGCAAAATAATAAATAAAAAAAATTTTTTTAAGGGTACGAAAACCATGAATGTTGTTTTTCTACCGTATTCCAAAAAAGTAAAAAGAAAACAATCCCCTGGACTTTGTTTCCAAGTTTGAAGACGTTTCTCTTCCCGTCCAGGAAGCTTTTTCAATTCAAAATGTCAGAAATAGCGTTGAGTTCGAGGCTTATAGAGTGGACCAAAAAAAAAGCCTGGTTTTGGCTTAGAAACTTGGAAATTGAACCGGACGAACGGCTCTGCCCCTTAGGAATGTTGGTCGTTTGGTTTCTTTGTTAGCCTGTAATACCTGATACCTGTCTATGTCTCTGAAAGGGCGAGGTGTTCTGTTCCCTTGTAAGGGGGTGGGGGTTGCGATGATAGCCAAAACAAGGATTTGTTTTTGGTGCACTCTATAAAGTTCGGAACTCAACGCTATTTCTGACATTTTGAATTGAAAAAGCTTCCTGGATGGGAAGCAAAATGCCTTCAAACTTGGAAACAAAGTCCAGTGGATTGTTTTTTAACTTTTTTTCAATGACTATGAACTGGATGACTGAGAATGTTACTAATAATTACAATATGGTGCATTTTGTGTTTATCACATGAAATACCTCCAAAATACTTTAAATTTTCTTGTTCTGATGAATTGTAAACCAAATGGGGAAACTGTGGAAGATCAGCAATCAGTTTAATAGTAGTTTTGATTTTTTTTTGCCAACTTATAGGATTTTTGAAGCCTGTAATGGCTAAGTATTGTAGACAAACTATTTCAGGTCTGCTTTATGGAATGATGGAATACATATCTTTAGTAATCAGTGAAGTAATCTTCCTTTTCTCATTCGAATACTCGCAATTAAAAGTTGATTCTTCTCCGGTTTTGTTTTATGAGTTGTAGAGCCAACATCTTCTCCCATTGCACCGTGCTGCCATTTCTCCTCAGCTTAATGCAGACATGATGTCAAAGAAAAAGAGTGAGTCATCGTATCAGGCCACCTTCGGTTGATCTGCTGTCCTGCTGTGATGCTTACTTTCCCTCTAGAGGAGCTTTTAGCAGCTAACAGGGGTCATGGGGTGTCATGTTGGTTGAATACGGGGAAAAAATTATAATAATCACAGTTATTCTGGTCAGTATGATGTTTAACATATTTAGTCATTGGGTTTGTGCATTTAGAGCACGTTTTTATTATTCTGTTCTAAATATAATTACTTAAAAAGTCAGGATTCTGCTATTATAAAACTTGGACATAAATTATTTTGCCTTTACCATTATTAAATGTCTTTTAATAGGTCATTTGGATCTGTTTGGGTTTTTTTCCCTTTAAATAATTTAAAAATCATTTTAAATGTTATGTTTAATGTTTTAAACAAGTCAAAATTGTTTTAAATCACTTTAAAATCAGCTCTTTGGGATTTAAAGTGCTTAAAGGACTTAACACATGTCCTCTCCAGGGACTTCAGAAAAATAATTGAACCAGATCATCCAGTCAGATTGATTCAAATGGATCAGTTTTGGATGACTTTATTTTTACATTCTACTAATAATCAAGGGAAACCGACTTTCTGGAATTCAAATATAAAACCATTTTTCCAAGAAAAACTTCTGATATTTTCTAGTTAAAAAACAAACAGTTAACCGAACACACCTGCTGTGTTCTGGGTCACCTCAGCTTTAGTCCTGGTGGTCATGACCCAAAGAGCTGCAGCCTCTTTAGGCCTTTTTCTGGATCCTGACTCGAAGCAAATCTCAACATACGTGGGGGGAAAAAGAGCGTGTGTCGCGAGAAGGACAAAAGTAACTAGAGTGCCTGCTTTGCAAGACTTATTATCTCTGTGGAATCATAGCAACTGATAGATTGCTTGAGCAAATATTCCCTTAATTCTGTATTTGCTTTGTTTTTAAACACGCTGGTGTGTGGAGGTAGACGAGCTATCTGCCCTCCTAAGTGGATGTTTTTTAGGGAGGGGGGGGTTAAAAGTGTTTGCTGTCTGTTTGGCTTTGCAGCAGGCAGTAGACCTCAGTCATGGACTTTCCCAGGTCTCAGTAAATATTCCCAATATGCTGTTTGTGTGCTCTGGCCCGTCGGCCTCAGAGTGCCCCCTCTCTGCTCACCGACCGTGTGTCAATATTGTCTGTGCTGATATACGGCAGGACTGACTTGCTTCTCTCTGTCTGTCTCCTGCAGCGGTGCGTTTTCGGAGGTGGTGATGGCTCGGGAGAAGGCCACTGGGAAGATGGTGGCGATCAAGTGCATCCCCAAGAAGGCGCTCAAGGGGAAAGAGACGAGCATCGAGAACGAGATCGCCGTCCTTAGGAAGTATGCACCGCCCCACGACTGAGCTGTCGAGGTGTTTGTAAGAGGAGAGCATCAGAAAGAGTCGCCCGCCTTGTTTTAATGCTTTGGGGAGGCTGTTCTTTTGCTTTCTCTGTCTGCTGGGGGTTTATTTAGTCTCAGTTTATTTAACGGTCATTGACAGGCTTAAGTGGCTGCCTTGACGAGTCCTAGCTATTGACTTTTTTTAGGGTAGGGGGGAAATATTCCAGAGTGTACACACACAAACACACACTCACCTGCACAGGTTACTTTACTAAGATTGCACTTACATCAGGTGACACATCCTCCCCCAGGGCCCGATGTATGAATACTCAGAAGTTCAGTTATCAGTCTTTTTTTTTTTTTTTTTTCAGTGAGTATTGCTGTGCTCAGCTGTAGTTGCTTGGTTACAGCTGCTACCTCTCTCTTTCTCTCTCCGTTTGTGATCTGTTTTTCTTCTACTTCTCTTCATGCTCTCTTCTCATCTCTGACAGTCCTCAAACCGCAACCTCATTTTCATTCCAGACTTGGAAAGAAGTGAGGTTGTGAAGGTTGTTTGGTCCTTTGAGGCTTTCACCACCTCCTCCTCCTCCACTTCCACCTCACTGTTCTAAACACTCAGCCTTTTGAAGACCCTTTGTCAACTTTATTTTACACTGCCTGTACTTTTTTACCAGCCAGCCTGGGCACCTGCTCTCAATGCCTTCACTTTTTTATCTACACAGAGGTTTGCTGCTGAAAATATACAGTGCTTTGAAAAAGTTCTATCCCCTGGAAGGTTTGCACAGACTTCCACTGATTTAAACTCCAAATAGTGCATGTTTGTCAGGTGGAAGGAAATTAAACCTTTTTATACCTTTAAACGTAGTGATACATACGCAGTGCATTTCAGTTTATCCCATTTATAAGTAGCCACGTGAGACCATCCTGATCTCGCGAGCTTTCAAGGTTTCACTCGCAGATCAGTCTGGAGACTCTCTGTTGAAGAAAATTTGGAGCCGTTCACCAAACGAACGTCCAATCAGCGTTGGCTTTGAGGCGGTGTGAGGTGTGACGCAACGAGAAGCGTGACAGTTCAGTCTAAAGAACATGGCGGCTTCAGCCGATTAAACTAGCGTTAGTGTGGCTATTGAGCAAGTTTTATCGGAATTACAGAGTATTTCTTCACTGAAAGAAGAGCAAAATACTGCTCTGGAGGCTTTTCTCAGAGGAAAAGATGTTTTTGCTCTTCTCCCGACTGGTTTCAGCAAGAGTTTGATCTATCAATTGGCTTGTGCCTGGCTTGTGGTTGTGTTTTCGTCTTCGCTCTGTTAGTACCTCATATGCTTCGTTGATCTGATTGGTTTATTTGGCCCGTCTATCACCAACATAGGCCAATGAGCTAACCCAAAATTACTTCAACGGAAGGTTTCCAGATGGATGTGCGGAGCAAATCCAGCAAATCGATCTGGCCGAGTCAGGTTATTTATAAGAACATTAATGGATAAACTGGAACCTGGCCGATTTGTCAGGGTTAGGTTCAGTCTAAACTTAAAGGCTAAGAAAGGAGGGTGTTAATCAAAGAAGCAGCTGAGAAGCTTGTGGTAACTCTGGAGGAGCCTCAGGGATCCACAGCTCAGGTAGATGAATCTGTCAACGGGAAACTGCTTTGGTTTCTGTGCATTTATTATATTTTTTCTCATTCAGGAATACATAAAAGACTCTCTAAAGTCTGAATTGAAAGGTTAAACCTCATTGGGAAACCCCAACTCCTGTAATAAATATTGCTCTAGCTTAAACTCGATATTTTTTATAAGCAACACTGTTCCCAACAACCTAAATAAGTTGCTACATTCAAGCTGATTTTGCACAGTTTCTATCTTAGTTAAATAACAAGCTGCTGTCATTTCGCACATCTCTGATGTTATTTTCTTGCTATTTTCAAATATCTTTTTTCCAGACTCACAGTTTTATATTGTTAAAACACTTTACAGTAGAGTACTTTATTGTTTATCTTTTAACTCTTCCATATTATGTTATTCTTATACATTTTTCTAAGGTCCACATTTTTGTGACCATAATTTCTATTATCTTTTAGCTGCTGTAAACACCAGAATTTCCCCATTGTGGGACAATAAAGGGATTTTCTATTCTATTCTGTTCTATTCGGCTCTATACTATTTTATTCTATTCGGAGTAAACCTAAAGTTAGCATTACAAACCATTTCACTGCAAAAAATTAGCTAAATGTAGGTGAAACTTTCTTTAAGCAACAAGATTTTGCACTTTATTTGAATTGTAAGTAAAGGGAAATACAAATTTTGCCCCTTAAAAAAAGAACATCTCCATTTTCTTAATTCAAGTGTATTATATTTAAATATTGTACTACTTTTTCCATTGTTTTGTCATGCATAAAATGAAAAGAAACACACTTTCAAATTGAATTTCTAAAAATAATTTAAACTTTAATACAGAGTGCTCTCGCTATAATATGATGTCATTCAGAGCTCGGACATCCAAGACAAGTCAGATGCAGCATTAGTTGTGTATTTCATGAAATACAGCTTTTTCTGATAGTAGAAAGAAGAAAACAAACGTATTCTAGTTCACCTCAATTGGTAAAACAACAAATATGAAAGATGAATCTTTGGTTAAAATAGACATAGAGGCTTTCGAGTGCTTGAGATTGGAGCAGTTTAGCTTCAAGCAGGAAAACTCATCTAACCTGCTGTGATAAAATTGTTTAAATCACAGCATCTGAACCTGTAAAAGCTCACACTTAAATATAATTAAGCATTTTAGGCAAATTTTGGCAGTATTTGTTCATAGATCCTTCCATTCTGTCTGACTAAGCTTGAGCTCTTTTGCAAATAACAATAAGCAATCTCAGTCTCTAGATCTGCAAAGCACATATAGACATTCGACACTCCTGAAGACGTTAAGGATTAAAGTTGTAGGGAAGTCATATTTAAATGTAAAATCATTCTGGCTTAAACATGTAGATAAATGTACTCTTTATCAGACGATATTGTCCCAAAATGTAAAATAATTCTATTTAAAAAAAAATCTTGTCTTAAAGCTACAGTGTGTAATAATTACAGGGATATACAGTCAGAAATGTAATATATTATACATAACTATGTTATTTATCATCATCTACGAGCTCAGCCTCTTAACCTTAATATTTGCGTTGCCTTAGAGTTCGTTATTTATAATTACATAGGAGCGGGTCTCGCAGCCATGGAGGTAGACATCTTTGCGCTACGGCAGCGCAGAGCCAACAAACTAGCGATTGCGAGATCGCCCATTACGCTCGAAAGTAACTACGGCAAATTGAGAGAGATGAACTGAGACGGTACTGAAATCTATACCCTACACAGACTAATGGAATACTATCTGTAAAATTATCTATGTAAACAAACCTCATCACTTGAGAAGGTAGGTGATGCGGACGTCATGGAAGACATTTTGTCCCGTAACGCTCGCCGTACTGTTGAGGGGGAGAAGCGGTGGGGGGGAGATGTTCATGTTGCCGCGGTCTGCAGTCTGGACGTTAGATGTCGCTGAAAATTACACACTGTAGCTTTAAAATCTGTGTTTTTTACCTGTCATCTGATGCACCTCAGCCTGTACACCTTAATTCAACCAATCATATATCAACGGTCATCTGTCAATAAATTTTTTTTGGTCATAGCATCTTGATTCATATGTCGCAGCTAATATACACAACAGTTGAAATAAGAAATCAGAATCCTTTCCTTTCCCGTCGTGTTCCGTCCCAGTGTTCACGGGGATGGATGTCTGTGTCTTCAGCAGGCGTAGAGCTAACAGAACTGGCAGCGTTGTGAGGCAAGGGCTCAAACATGTACGGCTGGAAGCCTTCTACAGCAAACCAAGCTTCTGCCGCCCTGGCGTCCTCTTCCACAACATCTTCGTCCCCGCTTTCCTCCTCAAAATAAAAAATGGAGACTCATCCACGACCTTCAACACAAAACTCTCCTCCTCTTGCATGTTTTCACTGTCCAAAGTGTTCCTTGACAGTGTCGTTTCTAAGTCACCAATTTAGCTAATTGGTCCCAATGGAATTTCCCATTGGGAACTCACTAGCACCAAGTTGCTAACTGGTTAGCAAGATGCTTCCGACAAACCGGTTACAACCAAACTTGCCCCTTGATAAACAACCAATCACATTCATTTTAAAGTCGTGTACCACTCAGGAGAATTTGGAAATGCAATGGTTGGAACGGCTGCTTCCCTACGACTTTAAATGCAGAAGGTGGTTCTGTGACGTCTGAGTAAAAATGCAAGAATTCTGATCTTTATTATGAATTAAAATGGAGAACCTTGTGTCTTTTTTCCTTCACTTCACATTCATGTTGTGTGTTGGTATACATCATTAGAACCCAGTTAGATTTGTAAGGGTCTGTGTCTAAGATGTGACTAAATGCAAATAAGTAAAACACTTTTGCAAAGCACTGAGTTTGATAAGAACTGACTTGCAAATGAATCCCAACAAAGACGAGGTTAAGAAACAAAACAAGGATCCGCTTTCTGCAGGCAGGGTGTGGTTTTAAATAAAGGCTAAAGGAGGTTTCTGATGTTTCTCTTCTCTTCCCTCCAGGATAAAACATGAGAATATTGTGGCTCTGGAGGACATCTACGAGAGCTCCAATCACCTGTACCTCATAATGCAGCTGTAAGTACATCAGCCCACCATGCTGTTAGTTTAGGTCAGCTCTCGGCCTCCCATTTGGCTCGTCATTTCGATAATGTGTTGTGTGCTGAGTGTCTGTAATGCCCCTGAGGCGTCTTTGCTTAAGTGAAGGCTGCAGTGTTCCTTTTTTCAGCTGCAGGGTGCTTTTTTTCTCTATCATTTTAAGAAATTTCATCTTGATCGGATGGATTTCAGAATATTGATGCCATTGTTATGTTTGAGAAATAGTGAAACTGAAACAGGAGTCATCTTGTCTAAAACCAAACCAACGCTCGGTTATGCTAATTTAATTCAGTTTATTTATATAGCGCCAATTCACAACACATGTCGTCTCAAGGGCCTTTGCAGAGACAATTCAACCAGAACATACAGTCAAAATTGATTCAAAGTTTTTTATCTAAGGAAAAACCAGTTGATTGCATCGATTCATTGACTCTAAGGCAATCCCTCACACTAAGCATGCTTGTAGCGACAGTGGAGAGGAAAAACTCCCTTTTAACAGGAAGAAACCTACAGCAGAACCAGACTCACTATGAGCGGCCATCTGCTGAGGCCGACTGGGGTTATTCTTGGGAACGTTGATCATAGTTTTACACTTGATTTGTTGCCACTAAGCTTCGATGCTTTTCTCAGTGACAGAAACTTAGAGGTATTGAGGAGAACTCTCTATAAAACCAAAACTTACCTTTACCTTTTATCTTTAGATGAAACATATAGTAATTTGTCATATATTCAAACTATATATTGACAGTTTAGACAGGGGTGTGTTGGCCTAGTGGTTAGAGCAGTGCGCTTGTGCTCTGAGAAGGTTGCACAGCCTCCGCTCTGGGTCCCTGAGCAAGATCCTTTATCTCACACTGCTCCCCGGGCGCCGCAGAATGGCAGCCCACTGCTCCCCAAGGGGATGGGTTAAATGCAGAGATTGAATTCCCCAATTGTGGGACAATAAGGGATTTGATTTTGTTTTGGGGCTTTGAACTGTAAATGATCCCATCACCAGTGTTGCCACTCAGCGACTTTGTCGCTATATTTAGCGACTTTTCAGACCCCTGCAGCGACTCTTTTTCAAAAAAGTGACTAGCGACTTTCCTGGTGTCTGCTGTGTTGCACCTCCCCGTCCGAACCCCGTTCTCCCGCTTCCGCAGGAGTCCCTCTGAGCGCTGCAGTCAGAGCCACAGCATGTTTACCCTCGGCTTCCAGACCGCAAATGAACCGCTCGCATGTGCAGGGATTGACTGCGCAGGTTGATCGCGGTGGAGTCAGCTCCCTCAGTTGCTGAACCTGCCATAGAGAGCCTTGACCAACATGACGAGGACCCACTCTTTCTGTGAGCTGGCAAACACAGCCTGTGTGTGTGGAGGGAAATCTTATTAGTTTAAAAAAAAAAAAAAAATAATTACCATTATTTGCTCACATTGTTAATGTTAATGTAATGTAAAAAAAAATGTATGGTTCAAAATGTTGATGTTTTACCATGATTTTTAAGCTCCTTAGTAGACCACAAGGGGAAAAGAAAAACTAAAAAAAAAAAAGTTGAAAAAAAATATATATACATATATATTATGCAAATTAGGCAATGACGTCATTCAATGACTTCTAGTGACTTACAGCACAGTCAATAGCTACTTTCCTTACAGAGGAGTTGGCAACACTGCCCATCACACTTTCTCAATTGAGTTGAGGTCGGAACTTTGACTAGGCCATTGCACTTTCTTTTTTTTTGTTATGGCCTTGAAATATCTCTTGTCACAGGATTGTATTTGAAAAAGTGCTTACCTTTTGCATGGGTCTACCTGCTTGATACCACTTTCTCCTCCCTTGTGTGTGGCAGCTAATGTGCTGGTGTGAGGAAAGCCTGTGTCATTTTTGTTAAATATGATGTCACAGAAAATTGAGTACCTCTACAATCTAGAAATGTATATTAAATATTTTTTCTTATTGTTATTTTGCAAATGGAGGTAACTGTGCAGCCACTGCAACAATGCTTGGCAGCTGTTATGAGGTGTTTACTAATGGGTCATACTTAGTCTGTTGTGGTCTAACTGACATTTCTTCCAAAGTTAAAGTCAGCACTAATCTGAAAACTTGATCTAAATAAGTTTTGCTCCCATTTCCTTTTCTACTGTTGATCTTGGACAGCTAACGAGCTAACTCAGGGCTGTAACTTCTGCTTCTTGGTCCGACCTAACCTGATTGGCAGGCCTCTCTGAGGAAGTTCGGCAAGTGTCTTAAATGTCTTCATTGCTTATGAATAACTGTTTTAGGACATGACCTTATAACCCCTTTCCAGATTAACCGGCTATTTGGATTGAGTTTCTCATATCATTACCAATGTTCCTGTTACTGTGTTAATGCATGTTTATGCTTCAGATTTGAGCAAAATTACCAAACTTTTGTTTTTTGTTTTTTAAAAGATGCTCAAATCTTATTTTGATCAATAAATCAAGAACATCTGATCTGCTGCAACTTTCTTAATGCTGTAATTTCCCATTTATCATATTTGATAATTTACATATTTGCAAGTTTCTGCATCATTAGTGAAATCCACTGTATTCTGGAAGGACTTGATGTGTTTAATCACACATGTAGTGAACAGAAAATGCATCACTAATTGCACAGAAATGCCTGAGGTATTAAAAATGATAGAAATCATAAAGTATTTCATTAAAATTACAGATAGAGCAGGACTTATACTTTGACAGACTTATTGTCATTTTGTACACACAGAGTTTATACAAAAAAAATTTCATTCAGTACAGCTCTCAAGACATTTTTATAGATACAAGACAATACATAGATAGACAGGCTGGCCAATATTCTGGGCCAATATTAGCGCTTCCATTTTTTTCTGGTATCCACATCAGCCGATCCATCAGCATTTGCAGAGTGAAGTGATGAGTTGCTGCTCCCCCCGTTTGTCACCTAATATTTTTTTTATCTTTTGTATTTTCTTTATATGGGTTTCTTTTTTTTTTTGTTTAAATTTAGACTAGGCTGTTTAATTAGGACTCTAATTTAATAAAAATATCATCTTCTGACAATTAATTCATGGTTCAGACTTTACAGGGTTGTTTTTTTATTTTATTTATTTTTACCAAAAACATAAAAAAAAAAAATAGAACATAAGAACACAGAACAAATGTGAGAAAACACATTATATACATAGATACATGATCTATGGGCAATAAAAAAACAAATGTTATAACACTGAAATCAATCTAGGTATGTAGTTTTCTAAAGGTAGATATAACTAGAACAGCTTTAGGTTTTATACCTGATTGTAAGGACTGTATCTAGAGGTTGATGGCAGATAATGAAATCTGGAAAATAGGCTTTTGTTATTTACATATATATATATATATATATATATATATATATATATATATATAAAAAGTTCAGCATTATTCAGGCAACGTTTGTCATTCCAAACAAAACATGCTTATTGGTGAAGTTATGTTAATATTTCTTCGACAGAAAACATGAAGGATCCAAATCCCATTTATATCTTGTAACTATAAAAGCTTTAACTGCAACAATTGTGCAAAATAAAAAATAGAAAAGATCTTTATTGTTTGTTATATATTTCTCTGTTAGCAACCAAGTCCACTTCAAGTCAAGTCAAGTCAAGTCAGCTTTTATTGTCATTTTCTACATATGTACAAGACATACAAGGGAAATGAAATTACGTTTACTCTCTGCAATATACAAATATACAAGAAATATACAAGACTGACATTTAAAAACTGACATAAAGTGCGGGACATGACAGGTAAGAGTGGTAAGATAAATATAAGTATGAAGTATAAACAGCAGCAATAAAAAGCAATAAAAACAGCAGCAATAGTTTGTTCCAGGCTGAGGTAGTGCAGGTAAGGTGCAGTCTCTGGTACAGTGTATGTGTGTGTGGGTGTGTGTGAGAGAGAGAGAGACAGAGAGAGAGAGAGAGGGGCAGTCTTAGCTTCCTGTCTGCCTGGTGGCTGGAGCAGACCGTGTGGGGAGGGGGTGGAGGGAGTTGAGCATTCTGATGGCCTGGTGGATGAAGGTGTTCGCCAGCCGGGTGGTTCTGGACCGTAGGCTTCTGTACCTCTTTCCGGAGGGCAGGAGATGGATCAGGTTGTGTGCTGGGTGGGTGTCATCCTTCAAAATTGTGAGGGTTTTGCGGGTGAGGCGGCTGGAGTAGATGTCTTGCAGGGAGGGGAGAGGTGCCTTGATGATCCTCCCAGCTGTGTTCACTATACGTTGCAGGGCTTTCCTGTTGTAGTCAGTGCAGCTCCCGCCCCATACAGTGATACAGCTGGTGATGATGCTTTCAATGGCTCCTCTGTAGAAGTAGGTCATGATGGCTGGTGGGGCACTGGTCTGATCAGCTTCCGCAGGAAGTAGAGGCGTTGTTGGGCTTTCTTGACCAGTGATGCAGTGTTGGTGGTCCAGGAGAGGTCGTCGCTGATGTGCACTCCTAGGAATTTAGTGCTGCTCACCCTCTCCACAGCAGCGCCATCGATGGTCAGTGGCAGGAGTCGGCGGGGACCTTTCTGGAAGTTGACAACAATCTCCTTTGTCTTGCTGACATTCAGTAGGAGGTTGTTGTCACTGCACCACTTGGCTAGGTGGTCCACCTCTGTCCTGTAGTGTGTCTCGTCACCGTTGGAGATGAGTCCCACCAGGGTTGTGTCGTCTGCAAACTTCACCAGGTGGTTAGTGCTGTGGGTTGTTTTGCAGTCGTGTGTGAGTAGGGTGAAGAGCAGGGAGCTTAGCACGCACCCTTGTGGAGCTCCTGTGCTCAGCGTGATAGTGTTAACTTCCAGTTAATGTTTATAAAAATGATTAATCAGAAGATTAGGGGTCTAACTATTGATTATTGTGTTGAATCCTATGGATGCAACTGAGCTGAACTAAATCTGTCTGTTTCAGAGCCTCGTATTAATCGCCAGAAAGTCAACTTTTTAAGCTGACAGACTCTCATATTTCTTGTGAAATTTACT